AAAAAAAAAAAAAAAAAAAAAGGAAAATACATTTTGAGTGCAAGCCCTTTATTAGCTATGTATTTTTTATTTTTTCTCATTGAGTTTATTGGTAGATACGTGATTTTAAAATACTTTCCAATTTGCAGCTTTCCTTTTCATTTTTTTAACGGGGTCTTTTTTTTTTTTTTTTTTTTTTTTTTTTTTTTTTGGGGTTAGAACCTTACGCTTGCTTGTAAGGCAGGTGCTAGAACCATTGGGCTAAATCCCTGGCCCTTAATGGGGTCTTTTGAAACTGAAAAATGGTTAATTTTGATGATGTATGACTTAACAGTTTTGTTTTAAAATGGATCATGCTTTTGGTATCATGTGTAATCAGAGTTCCAGAGGTTTTCTTTTGGAAGTGTGGTGGTTTGTAGCTCTTACCATGAGGTCTTCCCGTGAAGCCCTGAGTGTCACAGCCAAAGGCGCATTCTGGCATCTTCTTCCCTCATTGTAGAGGTGAATATTTTAGTGATTTATGTTAATTGCACTGGACCAAAACAATTGCATCGAGAGTTTAAACAGGTTTGTGCTCCTAAAAAGTCTGTTGTTTAAAGTGCAGATATCCATGTTTCTGACCTGTTTTTCCTGGGCTGCTCCCTCGCCTCACTCGGAGCAGCAGGCCTGGTGGATCCCTGTGGGTATCTGGGCTGGGTCCTTGCAGGGGTTCTTCAAGGAAGCAGAGCTGATCTCCCAAGTGGTTTCTTTCCTTCTCCTTTGTCCCTGGGCTGCTTGTTCACCACTGTGATTGACTGTTTGATCTCTTTTGTTTTGGGTACTGAGGATCAAACTCAAGATCTTGCACTTGTGTGGCAGGCACAGGCAAGTGGTAGAACCACTGAGCTAAATCCCCGGCCTGATTGATCTCTCTTTGTTTGGTTCTTTGAGACACAGTCTCAATATGTAATTCAGGCTGGCCTTGAACTTGTGGCAATCCTCCTGCCTCAGCCTCCTGAGTGCTGTGATTGTAGGCTTGCACCACCATCGCACACCACGCTCACAGTGATTTCTCCTCCTTTAGTATCTAGCTCTCAGCGGGCAGTTCTGTACATGATAAAGATTGCTCACAGTCTTTAGAACTACTTTGATGCATACTTTATTAGTCACTTCCCTCACTGAGACAAAGTATGCCAGCAATGTAAAGGAGGAGGGGTTTATTTTGGATTATGTTTCAGAGGGCTCATTTCCATGGTTGGCTGGCCCCAGTGCAGAAATGGCATGGTGGGGGGCATGGTGGAGGAAAGTAGCCCAGTCCATTACAGCAAAGAAGAGAAACAGAGACAGATGCACAGTGTGTGGATAGAGGAGGAGCCGGGGCAAGAATGCTCCCTTCCAGGTCACCTCAGTGACTGCCTCCACCCAGGCTCAGTCCAACAGCACGGCCGGCCGTGAGCTCATCTATGGGCGCTTTAGTGCCCTGACCCAGTTACCCTCCAGAAGCCCCTCTTTTTTTTTTTTTTTTTTTTTTTTTTGGTACCGGGGATCGAACTGTGGCCATTGTGCTTGCAAGGCAGGTGCTGGAACCACTGAGCTAAATCCCTGGCTCCAGAAGCCCCTCTTCTGAACATGGAGACTTTTGGGGACGTGCTGTAGTGAAGTTCGTAGGGGAGGGCTTGGTCTCTCCTGCAGATGCAGGCTGGTGGCTGTCACTCTTCCCTCTCCTGCTGCCTTCAGTTCTTGGCCACCATAGAGGGCTTGCGTCTCTGCCATCAGTGGGTGATGACAGTGGTTCTTGGGCTGTGGCCCAGCTGGCACTGTGGTGTGGGTGAGGTTGATAGGTGCCTGTAGCCAGCCTTCTGCACCGAGGAAGCTAGGTACCATGTGCTCTTGAGCAGCAGCTGCAGCTCTGCCTGTCTGCTTGCCTGCCTGCCTGCCTGCCTTCCTCTCTCTTTCTCCCGAATCTGTTTCCTCCCC